CCCCTATACATATTACTCCTAGCCACAATTACTCCTTTCCCCTCATTTAAAAATCTTTTTACTCGTTGTCTTTAAATATGGTGGAACCGTCCAGTTTTCTAGTTAACTTATTAATTCCTAACCAACTCTCATTAGTTTATTCTTTTCTATTCTTAAAACAAACTGTAGTAATAAGCAACCTGACGCCAGTAAACCTTATAAACAGTAATACTCATATTTCTCTTTTTTAATTTCCTAGACTTACAGTGGGCTTCGCGCTGGCTGCCTTTTCCTGCTTGCAATGTCAAAAAAAGTATCGAGCGCCCATTAGCCATCCCTGGGGTCATGTAAGGTTCTACAAAAAGTTTGGGCCTGATCGGTTCAGCTGTTCTAACGCTTATTGGACACAAACAAACCAACAGACGATACCAATACTATATAGATTTTTAGATTCTTGATTAATGCTTGTTTTGGCTGGTCAAATACGATATAGTTACATACACCTTATTTTGAAGAATAGTGCAGGTTAGAATTCAATCCAAATATTTTGTAGAAATATGAATAAATAATTATACACGGACTGTATACACTATACAACAACTATTGCATGAGTCAGGTACACAGACCAAATATTTTCAATATCTTGGAAACCATTGAGGAGAAGAATAATCATCCATCCTGAACCTCTCATCCTCTCTCCGGTATCAGGTGGTGGATCTACAGATCAATGAAGGATGGGTACCTGGAGAATGTTGAAGAATTTATGTCCTACATCCTACATGTCAGCAGTTCCACTAAAAAATCTATCATGGGGTGCTCCCTACTGCTTGGTCAAAATTCTTCTTTTTCTAATCAGGAAATGATCCTTAGATCCACCCTCCACAAAACTACATTGATTTGCAGTACTCTGACCAAAGAAATAGTGGGGTTTATTGAAGAGTGGTTCCATACCTTAAACTCTAACTACTCAAAATCAAGATATAAAAGAATGTAAAACATAAGAGAGTTTTTCAGATCTGTAGCCGACAGGAAAGGAGCCGGGGAGGGGGGGGGGGGTCAGTGGTATAAGAACCAGAATAAAAGCTATTCAGATAAGAGAAAAATGTTACTATGGAAGATAAGATACCCGCCGGAGGATACTTTGACGAAATTTAAAAGCAACTTGGATGAAACAGTTGTATGAATAGAATAATTTGATGAGTTAGAGCAGAATACAATTGGATGAAATTAATGCTTTAAAAAAATATATATATAATTGGTTTATTTGGCTGAATTAATAAGTTGGACATATGACAACAGCTGGATGAAGAATTTTGTAAGGCAAAAATAATTCAAGATTAAAAAATTTATGATAAAAACGTTGAATTAAGTTTAGCTGAATGAGGTACGGAAGGTTGCCATGGAATGGAGAACGGTGCCGTGACAAACTCCTGAATGACAAACTCCGGAATGACAAACTCCGGAAAGACAAACTCCGGAAAGACAAACTCCTGAAAGACAAACTCCTGACGAGACAAACTCCTGACGAGACAAACTCCTGAAAGACAAACTCCTGAAATTATGAAATTTTTCTCTGAATGAAATTTGATAAAATTCATAAACTTTAGNACGAAGATGAATTTATCCGCTCTACCTTGGTTATGTTTGTATTAGCGAAATTGAGAACAATTAAAAAAACATATCATTTGTTTCCAGCTTCAGATTTTTATAAGTTCTTTTTGACTTTAAGCATGTATGTGGATGTATATGATCAAGATGTCTGGGAATTTTCAGAAACTGCATGGTCATTTTCATAATTATATAAACATATATATATTTATATATATATATATAAATATAAGGTGTCTAAAAATAACGGAGAATAAGGGTCTACAGACTCCTATGTAATCGAAGACCATTCACCGATTTCATTTCACGTAGATTTAAAAATGCTCTCAAATTTTAAAATCCGATTATAAACGAGTCTGTAGACCCTTATTCCCCGTTTTTTGAGACACCCTGTATTTTTTGTGGATCTGTATTTATAGAAAATTTCTAACCATAGATTTGTACACATGATTCCACTTTTATAGGAAAAAATAGCTAAAATCGAAATTTAAGACCAAGCGCGGGTAAACGGCGGGAGTAGTTATGAGTACCCTGGGCAACGCTGGGTTCTCAACCTAGTATATATCAATATCTTTGGATATTTGAATTTTTAATTATGTTAGGATATCATTGTTAATGAAAACTATTTTAGTAATTTCTTCAGTTTGAATTTTGAAGATCATGAATGCATGACAATGCTAAGGATGAATTATGTAAGCTGGAAGTTATTAGACAATTAGTTGAGAAACTGAGTATTAGAATTAAGGGGTGGGATGCGGGGGGGGGGGGTAATTTTAAAGAGAATTGTATACAACGTTTATTATACATCAGGTAGGGTTGTAGGGTGGAGGTACTCAACGTGGTGTAGGTGGAGCTATATGTTGGAGGTAGGGTTGTAGGGTTGAGGGACTACATGTGGTGTAGGTGGGGCTATATGTTGAGGTAGGGTTGTAGGGTTGAGGGAATACTGTGGTGTAGGTGGGGCTATATGTTGGAGGTAGGGTTGGAGGGGGGGGGGGATTCTTATGAGGCATGGTTTGAGGGAAGGGGGCAATAGATTGAAGGTATAGGGTTGAAGGGCTAGGACTTTATTTTGAAGGTAGGATGAAAAGATTGGAGGGATGGAGGGATTCATGGAGGGAGGTGGGAAGGTTAAAATTTATTGATCAGTTTATAAATAGATCAGATATTTTTCAGCAGTATTGTTTGTAATATTATATTTTAATATTTATGATCTCTGAACCTTGGAACAATAAACTTCCCGGTAAAGAGGTTTGTATCGTCTCATCCATCCATACACAGTAGACACAAATAGAAAATTATCAATATCCGTCCCCAAAAAGGCATAAAAAATGAAGGAGGGGAGGGGGGGGGGTAGGGGGGAGTCCCCACTCCTAAAATGGAGGGAGCGAAGTAAACAATAATGACGACCGAAGAACGGTAAAAACAATTTGATCCGACAATAAGTAAATAAAGACTTCCTGAGGCTTTAATTGTAAAACAAATTTTTATACTTTTATATTTACGAATTTTTGTCCGCTATTTATCAAAAACATAAAGTTCAAGTAATAAAAGAGAAAGGAAAGAGAAACCTGAGATAGGTAGATTGAAAGGGAAAAGTTGGCTATAGAAGGAGGGACAGTGACACGAAAACGGAAACCCTGAGAAACGAAACGTCCTGTCTCTGGATCTGAACCTGAGTAGAATACTCCAGGATCTACTCTCTTCCTGGAGAAATTCTTGTCACGGAATAAACCCCGTCTTGAATTTTATTTTCTCAATCATAAAGAAATAAAATTGTTTAACAAAAAGGTTGATTAGACCCAGGATGGACCGGTAGGGTTGCACAATATTACAAGTAAAATATGGGTATATTGATAGATAGATAGATAGATAGGACGGATATAGAGATGGATGTATGGATAATCAGTATAGATGGATAGATGATGAGCTCCTCTGCTAACCATAAAGGACGAAGAAACTAATGATTATTCATGAAACCTTCTCTACCTCTGACAAATGATGGTTTTTAAGTTGGACTGGGAAAGGTTGGGGTCACGAGGTAAAACCTGCTCCGGGATAAGAAGATCAATGCCGGAACCTGAAAATAAAAATCTTTAGAAAAAGAAATTATCTCCAGCTACTGATAACTCACACTATTTGATCTTTAATTATCCATAAACACACCAGCTCTGGTGTAATCTCAGGTTACAGATTGTTAGTCTTGCGACGGTTTAACAAGCAATGAAACAAATCATCTCTAAACCCACCGCTGCTTTACATCATGTACACAACACTGTAAATACGTAGTCAAATAGGGATGAGAGGGATGGAAGAGGGGGGAGGGATGAGATGGATGGAAGTGATGGAAGGGATGGAAGGGATGGAAGGGATAGAAGAGATGGGAGGGATGGGAGGGATGGGAGGGATGGAAGAGATGGAAGGATGTAAGGGATTGAAGGGATAAAAGAGAAGGGAGGGATGGTAGGGATGAAAGGGATTAGAGGGATGGAAGAGATGAAAGGATGGAAGGGATGAAAGTGATGGAAGAGATGGGAGGGATGGGAGGGATGAAAGGGATGTGAAAGGTATGAAATTGAAGGATAAGATGGGATAAAATTAAAAATAGGAGATTAGGGAGGAGTACAAATATGTGAAGTAGAAGTATAGTGCGCTAGTTAATATGAAAATTAATAGAGTAGCAAACTGTTTAGATGGAAAATATTAAGATATCAAGCTGAAAAGGAGAAATTGTTGAACTAGTTAGTTGAACCAAGGAATTATATATTTCTTTAAGTTGAACTATCTTGGTCAATGTCAAATTCAGCAACTTCTCGCTATTAATTAATTTCGATCTCCTGGTTAAGAACAGTATGATTACGAGCGGGTAAAGTTTCAGTTTCAGAATAAATATGTGTTTGTCTGTGAGCTATTGTGTTTGTTTGTTTGTTTTACTCATGAAAATATTTATATAAGCAAGTCATCACAATTTCTCTACCCTGCCATATTCCTAAACCCCCCCCCCCACTCCTAAATATTAACAAAACTAGGAGAATTGTCCACCATAGAGTTGACATATTTTTCTAAACAAACATTTTTAGACTTAAATCTTTAAACAAACATGAGAGTCGGGGGTCAAACACAAGATGCATTCTTGAGGTAGAAAGCAATAATTTATAGATAAGTTTTAATTTAAAAGTAAAATGTTTTTGTTGTTGTATTTTTGCTGTAGTGAATATTTAAATCACTTTACTTTTTAAGTCTGAGCTTAGTACATATTGGTGCGATATTCTAATTTCATGATTTTGTATATGTGCATTATTCTAGATCATTTGAAAATGAAAAATTGAAAAATAGGCAAATTATTTAAGATACATAGACACGTTATCTGAGATATGATGAACCTCTTAGATATATATGAACGTTAAAATAGATAAATGTGCAATATGTGCATTATTCTAGATAAATTTATAGTAATTTGTCCTGTGTAAAAACAAGATACTTCATATAAATATCTGCATTATCATTTTTATAAAAGTACAACCCCCCCCCCCCACGCTCCCTGTGTTTAGTAGGTGTGAAATTTTCTGGTTGATCTGAATATATGAAGGTTAGACGCAAGCGTCAAGGTTTTTATAATGAATATTCCGTAAAAACATCAACACATTGTTTACGCATATTTGAGAAATTAATAAACTAGAAAAATATCACGCGCCCCCGGAGCTAAACCACGGAGTTATATCTGTGTATAATATATCTTTAAATTAAAATAAACAAAAGTGGATTTTAAATGACTCCTTGAAACGATTTCATTAAACTTAATAATCTGAGTAACAAGAAGAAGATATCTTCATTTTTCTATCTTGAAAAAACAAGGAACCCCTTTTTATAAGAAAAAACAGTAATTGTATCTGAAAATGGACAACCGGCGGTTCGTGGATTTATGAAAAAATAATGTATTATTCTTATATAAAAGGGTCTCCTAAAATAATGTATAATTCTTATATAAAAGGGTCTCCTAAAATGATATTTCGAAAACATTAGCTAGACTTGATTACGGAAGGAACTTTTTTGTGTAATAATATATCAGGATATTTGACTGAAGGTTGATCGGTTTAATTGTTCCCTGGACACTAGGTTTTTAGTAATTTGGCAAGATTCAGTGGTTTGGAACTCATACAGAGGAAATTATTAGATTTCAAGTTTAAACTCTACTAGAACTCATACAGAGGAAATTATTAGATTTCAGGTTTAAACTCTACCAGAACTCATACAGAGGAAATTATTAGATTTCAGGTTTAAACTCTACCAGAACTCATACAGAGGAAATTATTAGATTTCAGGTTTAAACTCTACCAGAACTCATACAGAGGAAATAATTAGATTTCAAGTTTTAACTCTACCAGAACTTGGCCTTTTACAATACCGACAACTTAAAGGTATTGTTTCTCGTAAAAATTAAGGGAGTTGGATGAACGAAATGGTGACTAGTTGAGCTGGAACTGTGTTGATTCCTAGAGAAGCTGGAACTTTGTTGGTTCCTAGAGGAGTTGGAACTGCGTTGGTTCCCAAGGATGCTGGTACTATGGTTCCTAGAGGAGCTGAAACTATGTTGATTCCTACAGGAGCTGGAACGTTGTTGGTTCCTACAGGAGCTGGAACTATGTTGGTTACTAAAAAAGCTGGAACTATGTTGGTTCCTAGACGAAGTGGAACTATGTTTGTTCTCAGAGAGCTTTAATTGTGTTTATTCTTAGAGAGCTTAACTGTGTAGGTTCCTAGAGGAGCTGGAAATGTGTTAGCTACTAGATTAGCTGGAACTGTGTTTGTTCTGAGAGAACTTAAACTGTGTAGGTTCCTAGAGGAGCTGGAACTGTGTTAGCTACCAGATTAGCTGGAACTGTGTTTGTTCTCAGAGAGCTTGAACTGTGTTTACTAGACGAAGTGGAACTGTGTTTGTTCTCAGAGAGCTTGAACTGTGTTTATCTTAGAGAGCTTAAACTGTGTAGGTTCCTAGAGGAGCTGGAACTGTGTTAGCTACTAGATTAGCTGGAATTGTATTTGTTCTGAGAGAGCTTCAACTGTGTTGGTTCCTAAAGGAGCTGGAATTGTGTTTGTTTTTAGAGAGCTTGAACTGTGTTTATTCTTAGAGAGCTTGAACTGTTTTTTTTCTCAGAGAAGCTTGAACTGTCTTGGTTCTCAAGGAAGCTGGAGTTTGAATTTAGGAAAATATTCTCATGATCTCATCTCTAAAACCCTAACTAGGCAGTCAGCAGAATCTTAGAACTATCCTGACAACCCTGGGAGAAATCAAGGAAAAAATGGAGACACTAGACAGTCAACACTAGACAGTCCGAGGAATTTAAAGCGGTTTTCATGATTTATTTATTTAGTAAATGTTTTATACAGGTTCTCCACAGGTTCTCTACAGTCTGCAGGTTCTCTACAGGTTCTCTACAAGATCTCTAAAGGTTCTCTACAAGTTCTCTATATGTTCTCTACAGGTTCTCTACAGGTTCTCTACAGGTTCTCTACAGGTTCTCTACAGGTTCTCTACAGGTTCTCTACAGGTTCTCTACAGATTCTCTACAGGTTATCTACAGGTTCTCTACAGGTTCTCTAAAGGTTCTCTACAGATTCTATACAGGTTCTCTGCAGGTTCTCTACAGGTTCTCTACAGGTTCTCTAAAGGTTCTCTAAAGGTTCTCTACAGATTCTCTACAGGTTCTCTACAGGTTCTCTACAGGTTCTCTACAGGTTCTCTACAGATTCTCTACAGGTTCTCTACAGGTTCTCTACAGGTTCTCTACATGTTCTCTACAGGTTCTCTACAGGTTCTCTACAGGTTCTCTACAGGTTCTCTACAGGTTCTCTACAGGTTCTCTACAGGTTCTCTACAGGTTATCTACAGGTTCTCTACAGATTCTCTACAGGTTCTCTACAGGTTATCTACAGGTTCTCTACAGATTCTCTATAGGTCCACTACAGATACGTGACAAGGATTTAAATAAAATATAAATTTCCCCCGAATACTTGCTGATCATCCAGATACAATAGAATTGATGAAACAACCCACACTTAAATTATTCTTTAAGAAATAATGTAGGTGGGGGGGGGGGAGGGGTAAGAAATGTGGGAAAAGAGTAAAGGGGCAAGACAGGGAGGGGATTAAGAAGAATTTAAATATTTTATGTAAACGGGTGGGGGAACAATAAGTTTAAAAGGTCAATTTAAAAACCGAAATTTTGTTTTAAATCAAAGGTACGTCTGAGTCTGTTATAAATTCGTTATTCAAAGCAATATAAATGAAGAGGTTGAATTGAACAGGTCTAGGATGAACATTGAACAGGTGCAATTTTCTCCGTAATATCAGGGTCGGATAAATGATGAGCAGGGTTTGATGTATTGCTGGGAACAGTATTGAGTCCCAGCTCCGGGTTAAATTTAAGTACGGGGCCTCGGAGGAGCAGGGGGGCGAAAAGTTAAAATCGTGCTTTTCATTTGTGAATTGAACTATGTATGTGATCCTCCATTGATCTTTACCACATCCAATCTTATATACTAAACTCTTTTGATCCTTCTACCCCTCTAAACTGATCTTTAACCTTGATTTCAATTGATCTATACTATCTTCCATTGATCTATACTACCCTTCATTAATCTATACTACCCTCCAATGATCAATACTACCCTACAAACAATGATCCTCCGATGATCAATACTATCCGCCATTGATCTATACTACCCTCAATTGATCTATACAACACTCTATTGATCTATACTACACTCAATTGATCTATACTACACTCTATTAATCTATACTACACTCTTTTGATTTTTGCTATACCCTTCATCGACCTTTACTGTTCCCTGAGCTACGCAAACATATATATGTGTAATGTGTATCAAGACTCAAATACTTACAATTAAATGCAGTTTAAATTGATCTACGTATATCCTTCATCTAGAAGTACATCTTTACTCATCTTTATAGGTTTGCAGGGGGGGGGGTAAGAATGGGGGGAGGTAGGAGGGGGGGGGGCAAGACATGGAAATTAAATATTTCTTTATAGAAAGTACACGTCTATTTCTGATTAATGC